TTTAGGAGCCTGAATTATTTCACTCACTCTGCTCTAAAATACAGACGAATAAACTACAGTATTTAATGCTAAGGCAAGGGTATGTGAGGCTCTTCCTAATCAAAAGAGCAATGCTAAACTCTTAAGGTATTTATAAATTCAAATAAATCTGTTGTATCAAGTGACAAATCTCATGTTTAAAAACTAAAAGATGGTCAAAATAATTCTATTTGTATAATGTAACAGGAACAAACAAAGACAGCTTAGTGAAGCAACAAAGAACTGGTTCATATCAAGCAATTTGGTGGCAAATTAATATGCAATATATTTTTTAAGGTTAGGGCCAATTCATACACTGTAGATCCGAACCTTATTTTATGATCCATCTTCATTTTTGACACTCACTTCTTTTTGTAAGACATTGTATCAGTGACTAATGAAAAAAAATCCCTTAGAAATGCAATATGAGCTGAAGAAACGGCATGCAAAATTCCTTGGTAGATGAAATGTTTAAGTTGGTTTATTTCATCTGAATTCTTATGTTCAGCAATCAAGTTGAAATACATGATATAGCAAGAGCTTTATCAGTATTTCCATTTTAAATGTGAAGGATTTATCATTAAGCCTTAACAATCCATCCTTCCCTACAATTTGATGCACGTTGCTTCAGGCTAAGATTGTTTTGCTTTAAGTTCTATATAATAGCTTTATCTGCTTTCAAATATACACATATATGCATTAAAAGAATCCTAAATTAATATACAAAGTGCCACACTAAGAGCTTAAGATTCTTTTTATGGCACTTATTTGTTAGAATGTGCTTCATTCTGAAGTATGTGGTATTTGGAAAGTGATTAATCCATTACAGAATCTAATTGCTTTTGTTACTTGAGAAAAAAAACCAAAACTATGATGTTAAGAAGCTTTTAAAATAGGACATTGCATGTGGAATCTATTTAGGATTTTTAAGATGTGTCTATATATTTACATGGAAAACCATAGGCATCTATTGGGTATATGATGTATTTTTAAATCAATGCTAAATGCATAGCAACATTGTAGGTTGTATTAATTCTTAAGCTGTCATTCACATCTACTCAGTGAATAACATAGGCCAGTTTGCACTCAGTTACTCTTCAGTAAATACGAGATTTGCACTTGGAGAACCAGAAATTGGACTCACTTTTACATTTATATTTGTATACATATAATGTGAATGCTCTTGTCTCAAGTTGATTAATGAAACTGGCAAAGTTCCTACTAAGTTCAACAAAAGAACACTCAAATCTATGTTCTTCTTCAGATGTTTAGCCAACAGATATCCTGAAAACACAGCTCCCAGAACACTCTCCTGGTGTGGTCTGAGTAACTGCTACGTACCCAGATGGATCGTTCACAGCTAAAAGTATTCAAGGAACTGGACCAAGCTTACTGTTCAAAATTAATTCACAGCTCTGAATGTATAAGAGTACACTTCATCATTACACTGCTATCCATAATGGACATGAAGAGCTACCAAGCGAATAAAATAAACAGTATCAGGAGCACAGTCCAGGGATAGGTTCTGGTTTTAAATCATAAAATTAGAATTCTTTTCTTGTCTCCACCACTATTTGAACGTGTCTATGGCTTATGTTTTGGTTTTGGTTTTGTTTTCAGATTTTTTCACAAGCTTTGTCTTTTTATTTTCTTGCATCTAATGCTACAAAGATACACGCATTTCTTTAACTGCAGGATCTATGAATTGTTCAGTTGGCCTCAGGTGCCTGGAAAAACAAACAACAGGTACTCAAGTCCTATCTGTGTAAACACTAACATCTAGACACTGCCTTGTGCTGTGCAACATAGACAGCGCTAGTGGTGCCTGATAGTTTCAGGTTTCAAGGTATTACTAAAATTAGAAAAAAAAAAGAGATGAGGTAAAGGCAAGGCTTTGAAGAAGGCAGGCATACCACCTAACTCGGGGCACTTACCTTCGGTGCCCAAACTGGGATGCTAATATTTCTGAACTTTCTATGCAGTCACTGCAGAGAGGCACTTTCACTGAGTTAATTTTAGAGATTTTAGAGCATCCTGTCCTAAAGTGCCCTGCAGAGCAGCCTGTCCATCTTAGCTGTCTATTAGCATGCCCAATTAGCAAGCTAAAATTAAACACCACACTTACGAGCTGAGAGCAAAGTACCAACTAAGTCACACAAGGTTTCACTTCAAACTAAGATTTGACACAATGAAAAAATCAAAAAAGACGGAAATGATACAACAAGCTATTACCATTACTACTCTCACCCTAACTAGTACCAGTCTTGTGTGTTGATACACCTCAAAGGAAACATCAATGACATTTAAGGTCTGCTTCTTTCCCAGTCTAACCCTAACATTGCAGCTCTTTCATAATTAAAAATAAAACTGGGGTAAAAAAACCTACAAAAAACTCTCCTTTAACTTCTACCTGATATTTTATCAGCAGAATAAGATTTCATCCCCTGAATCTGTCTGTATATTTTAAAAGATGTTTATTTCAGTTCTAGTTTAATGTAGTTTCTGAACATGGTTTTCACTGTCACATTGGTATTTCAAGCATAAAATTATAATGAATAAAATCCCCCAAAATTCCAGAGACTTCAAGATGTTATAGAAAAAATAGAATTCTGGAGAGCTCTGACTACATCTAGTGGAAGCAAATGCATTTCATTCCTAATAATGAGCTGGTCTGATATTGTGAATGGAAAGGTCTCAACCTCATTAAAATGCTCTGTATGCCTAAATGGAATTGAGTTGGGCATCAGCTGAGATATGCAATTCCCTGAATACATCAAATTTTTAAGACAGTCTGATTTCCTTGAAAGAAATGTTTAAGGGTCTTTCCTATCCAAATTCCAAAACAGAAAAAAAGGAAGATACATTCCTTCAGATTCTTTCAAAAACTTAGATTTACTTGGTGTTGGTTGGACTAGACAAAAATATTACTGTTCTTTTAGAAAATTGATATGTACATTGTAAACCTTCAACAAAGAAGACATATATTGATTAAATATATTCTGATTAGTGGATTGACTATCAGGGTAGCAAGAAAACATAAAAAACCCACAAATTCTTTAGCCAGTAGAAAAAAAGAAATTTTTGATGTATTTCCAATTTTTATTTTTTGTGCATCCGCCCAAAATTTCATTTAATTAACAGCTCTAAGACTCAGTCTGTTC